AGATTTTAGTAGGAGCATAAAGAAGTGTTCAGTGGGAACGCAGAGGCACGATCGAACTGTGACAGGAGGCAGAAACACTTAGTATTGTTGTTTTATAACACTTAATACTTCTTGATAGGTTCAGTTACACTCGTCTGGGTGCCGGAGTTTCTGCTTTACTGTATTAAACTCTTACAAAGCTAAAGTTTGAACTGGCCCAACAGAACCACAGATATATTCTTTTTCATTCATGTTATAATCTGATGTCACCCACTGAGTTGTAGCTGGCACCTACAGTTAGCACATAGCATGTAGCCTTTGCCAGTTAGCTAATTTATCACAATATTTGCAAAACCACGACCTGTGCTTAATGGTCCAGCTTGCCCACTAAACCCATAAGTTAGCAGTAACATACTGGTCTTCCTAGAAGTTCAGCTTGAGTCTTCCAGGTACAGACATATACTCGGTTGACAGTCTGACAACTGCGGCTAATTACTGCGATGATAGTGAATAAAAAGACGATCCTAGAGAGGTCGAGCGGGGAATTCCTGATAAAATGACAAAGGGAAGAAGGAAGAGGAAACACTTATGGAAATGTTTGGACATTTACTTTAGGAAAAATGGGAAATAAATGCAGTGATTTATTGCAAACATGCAAGCATACATGGAAAAATAGTATCTAAGGCAAAAACAGAGTAATTCTACCTTGATGCTTAAAAGTCAGTATTCTTTATGAACACCTTTATTCTTCAGCTCAGTCTGAACTCTGTCATCTCTGTAAGTTACCACTTCAGTCATGCTGGCGTCCGGCTCCGGGGAGGCCGATCCATGACTGACAGAGTTCCTCTGGCAGTGTGTTTGGATCAGTATCATGCTGAAACACGAAGCTGCTGATAATCAGATGTCTCCAGATGTTCCTGAATGGTGGCTCAGATTCTGATGTAACTTTTCATAATTCATCAGTTTATCAAAGATCTCCAACACCTCTGACTGACCTGCAGCTGAAGGCCTTGCACTTCTTCTTCTGTACAGTTTTCTCAGAGTAGGATACACTGCACACCATATGCCAAGTTTCCAGCCAACAGCTCTTTGGGAGTCACCTTGTTGGTGCAAAAATACTATTTTATGTCCATTTAAAAATGAAAAACAAAACAAATGTTTTGTTTGTGACCTGCTTTTGAGCTTAAAGATACAAAACTCGGCTCTTTGGTTAGTCATCTGTTATGTTAGCACACAACACTGGTTCATTTCTTGAATTAGGAGTCTTCTTCTGCCTGAAAGATTCATAGGTCAGATGTAGTGGTTCAACAAACCCAAAAGCCCTTCCTCTGAAAACGTGGAGTTTAAAGAAATTAGGCGTGGTTCACGACTTCTGCACAGAAGCACACATGGTGGTAGTAACTTGTAAAGCTGTAAAGGCTAACGCAGGTTTAACAGAAACATGCTGCCATCAAGACGACGTCTGTTTCATGGCATTTTGTTCTGTAAGGTTCAGCAGGATGAAGTAAAACCACATAATCATTGGTGGTCTGAGCTGTCTGATTTTCTGTTAACATCTGTGAACATACAAAGATCGGAAACATAATCCAGCTCCTGCTTTTGAACCCTTTCCAATCGTAGCCCGACCTCACCAAAAAAGAAAGAAGAGCGTTCAAAGCTCTGACATGCAACCCATCATTACTCTAACCTTCCAGAAGAAAACAGAGAATGAGGGGAGGTGGGCCAGAATCAGGTGAAGACAGAAGGGGACTCCCCGCTGTCTGAAAGCCCTCCACCAGCTGCTGCCTATAATTATCCTGCCATCACTGCTATATTTAACCGCACCTCCCTGCAGAAGACACGAAGGCTTCATCAGCCACAGGGCGCGCTTGGTTTTCACCTCTGAAAGGTGTCAAAATTTAATGTGAAGTAAAAACACTTGAGATGAGATAGGAAGGAGTTCGAAACCTGCCACCGGCCCAGCTCGAGGTTCAGGCTGGAGCAGATGTGCAGCTTGGAACCTCTGAAAATGGTACAAGGACCGGAAAAATGGGGAAAAACTGGCCAATGTTCAAAGACCCTGGAAGGCCTTCGGAAACCTGAAGAACTGTTGTTCTGTCCGGCTCCTTCTTAGCACGGGTCATAAATAAACTGAAGCCCTGACGAGAGGGAAACCGTTCATACAGCAGGAAGCGCTGTGTTCTGGAGCCTCGCTGGTCAGGCTACACGATAATCGACGGGTCCAACATGGCGGACTTTCAGCTCGCTGAGGTGCTCCACCTCAAGCGTCACTGACTGTTACAGCTGCGGATGAAGCGGACTCGTCGGTCTCTCTGCTGCATCCATGTGGCCGGCTGAGATCTAGGATGTGGAATCAGCTTCAGTTTTATATGTCAGATTCAAAGCATCCTCCCTGTGCTGTCCACGTGTTCAGCTTCTTCACTCGGCAGCACGTCTTCAGACGCTCGTTTAGACTTTATTCATGCTGTCACACTGTCATACCCATATTTATATGTAATCTTTAAATAGTTCAAAGATTATAGTTAAAACACTCTGAGGCATTTTTAGACTAAAACTCAGTGGCCTTGTCACGGACTGGAATCTGCTGAAGCATAGTTTGAATGCACTTTTAATAACATCATGGATGTGACTGTGTTTAATGAGCACTGTGTTTGAGGCCTTTGACCATCAGAAACTATTTTCAGGATTTATTTCCATCAAATATTCAGATTGTTGTGATGACGAGCGAGTGAGAAACTGACAGATTATTGACCCGTCACCACTGCCCCCTGCTGGGCATTAGGAAAGACTGCAGCCAGTGCATTCATACCTCCAGGTGTTTAAACATGGATCAGTATCGGCTGTGAAAACAGGTCCAGATGTTTGTGTGAAGCTTTATTAAGAGGCCGGCTCAGAAAACAGACACATGAAGACGCAGAGGTTCAAACATCATAATTTAATGCTAATTCAGCTACAGCACAGTCTAAACAACAACTTCACGGTTCATGCAGGATCAACATCTACAGCAACATCTGGCCCGTTCCCAAGCCCCACCAAGACTGTGGCGGTTCACGTCAGGGCAGCGGCGCGCAAGGCGAACCCGAGCCCAGCTTATCGGCCTACTCCTTCTAACACAACAAAACAACCAACACAGACACGTAGTACCATCGTTACGAATCAGAATGAAGATAAAAAGCTTGACGAGGTCCTTTAAATTATCGCCAGCCAAACACACAAACATTGGAATCCATTTCCGGAATGGCGTCATCTGAAAATTAGGCAATAAAATAATTAGCATAGCAACCTGTACATGTCGGCTTGTACCTCATTATTATTTTTAAGCAGTAGAAAAAACAGCATTTTGGTTTTCAGGTGGATCTCATTGTAACAAATACAAAAAGTGTTTAAAGAAAGTTTCTCTAAGGAGACGTGACGTTTGACCCTGTGAGACGTAGCACAAAGTCAAAAACAAAAAACACGCCTGAGATACGAGTCGGCTCATATCTGAGGGGCACGGGGCTCCGCTGGTCCCTGATAATCCTGTAGTCCCGCTGCACAGCGCCCCCTGGACAGTTAAGGCGGTACAACACATGCGTGACAAAGTAAACAAAGAAAAACAAGAGAAGTTGGCCAAACGTGAGCAGCAGTGCATCGTGGGAATTCTCAACATGGCAACGTCCACAACACGCGTTTGGTGCTCAATAAACCTTCAAAGTGGGTTTCTTCTGCTCCTTTCCAGCTCCACCTGTTTGTCATTACACCGCCAGCGTAGCTTTGCATGATTCACAGTTCAAAATCATCCTCATTTATCTGATTCTGCCCTTCATGCAGAGCCTCGCTGCCTCCAGCTGAAATCAGCTGCTTTCCCTTCAAGGCCTCCTTCTTGTTTCTTTTTCCGATTGGCCAAAGTCAGGAAGCCTGCTGAGGGGCAGTATGCACTGATAAGTAAAACAGAAACCCTGGATAATGTGAGCAGAACAGCTCTTCTTCATCACATCTGTCGCTTTCACAGAGAAGATTTAAAAGGATAGAAACGTGGCGCACACAGAAGCTGACTGAGAACCATATTTCCAGATAAACGCTGATATGAAGCTGATAAGAAAATAACATTTTTAGGGAAGATTCACAGTTTTGACTGAATGTTAAAAGCTGCTTTGGTCTAATTAACCGAGCAGTCTGAGTGAAAACCTCCACACCCGAGTCCTGTTAGTCTGTCTCCCAGTTCCCCCATTTTAGTCCAACATGTTGTCATGACGATATGATGCCAAATGTCTGGATCATTAAAGCGTCCTTCACAGACAGCAGAAAACATGGACGCAGCTTCCTGCTCAGAAAAATGAATAAACCTGGATTCTATCTAAAGGCCACCAGATGGCGACAGCTGCTGCTGACCTTTGACCTCTCCTGCTCGGTCACTGATTTCGGCCACACTAAATAAAAATGAACTGACTGTTTTGTAAATCTCATTTACGCCACATTTCTAAAAGGAGGATTATATGTAGAAGGAAACTGCATGCTCATTGGCTGGCATCAATCACAAATCATTAGCCAATGAGCATGCAGTTCATAGTAGCTACGTCCATGTTTTACAGCTTTAGTGAACAAATTCAGCCAATCACAGAACAAAGATTTAACAAAAGATTAATTCGCAGTGAAGTGGTCATGTGACAGCTTCAGTCACATGACCACTTCACTTCAGAACAGTTCTTCCAGCCGCGGCTTCAGCTGCTCCTCATCACTTCAGGACATTTCGAGTGTGTAGTTTCAGTCCGAGTGGTCACAGCAGCTGGAAATCACGTGACCAGCAGCTCTTCTCCCATTAGTACCGACTCCGATCGCCTCGTTTTCTGGGTTCCACCTCATGTGCGTTGGGTCGAATCTCCCGTCAGGTCATTAATATGTGGCACGAACGCCACAAAGGTGGACATGTTTCAGCAGAGATGAACCCACAGATCAGCACGTGCGTGTACACCAGAGCCAATCAGGATGAGGGTCGCTGTGGGCGGGAGGAAGACGGACGAGAACCGCAGCTGTAGCAGGAATGAGCTCTAACGTGGCCGAAAACTAAACAGGAGGCGCTCCTGCTGTGCGTCTCACCGGGTGAAAACTGAGACAATCGTCACTGTTTGCGGCGTGGACGTCCGGAGCGCCGATACAATCAGAGAAATAAAGTTTCCACAGTGTTTCAGAGTCTGAGAGAACGGCAGCAGCACGGCCGCGTCTCCACAAACTGAAAACCACGTGCAGACGGGAAGCCAAAGAAATGAAAGGTGGAAAATAAGGCCCCTCAGTAACGTCGGGTTATTCCAAAAAACGAGGGGAAATAAGAAGAGGCACCAAAAAGTCGAGATATCAAAAATGCAGTCTGTGGTACGAAAGGTCGGACTGTCGAATTTTATAAAAAACAAGATGGAAAATTAAAAACATCATTGAAAAAAGAAAAGCAGCTACATCATCCGGGACGACGTTCCTGACGGGAAGTGCCCGAGATGCTGCTTCTGCCTCCGACCACGCTTTGTCTTGTTGCACCTCCTGTAGGACACAACAGGAAGTGCACGTCAACATCAACATTAAACTCAGCTTTTATCAGTAAATGTAACAATGATCAGCTTCACGTCCCCCTGTAACTCTGAGGGGTCGGACGGTGACGCGGAGAAGAAAGAACCAATCAAGCTGATCGGGAATATTTTCATTTCTCAGCTAAGTTAGATCATGTGATCATCTTTAACAGCCAATAGGAGTGTTTCTCTTACAGCAGTGACCCTGCAGATTCCTCTGTCACCTTTTCTCTTTGTGCACAATGACAATAAAGCGCTGTTCTATTCTATTCTATTCTATTCTATTAGATGTGGGATAAACTCCAGGCTTTCAGAGCTCCAGTTATTGAATGTTAGACGTTTTTTTATTGGAAAATGTCTGCCTCACTTTAAGTGAAATCACGTCAGCACTGTTGTTCTGTGCTGATAACGTTTTTTACAGCGTGAGGTAAAGCGATGACGCGGCTGAGCACGTGGAGGCATCACAGGCAGCCTGCTGGTGTTTCACCATCACTCACCACCAAAGGAGAAAAAGGCCGGTGCTGGTTTCAGCAGGAGCATATCAGGACTGCACGTCTGGGCTGCACTTTGAACCTGACAGACTTGAACCACGTCTGCTGGAGGAGCCAATTTTTATAAAATACCGGATCTGTTTCTCAGACGAGCCAGTTTGTTTTTCTTCACAGCTCGGCTGGTGGTGACACTCTGCTCATTAATGGTTTTATGGTGCTTTGCTTCATGACTGAGTGCTGCTGGGGTGTGAGTGCCCCCTGCTGGAGGGCTGAAAGCCACGATTCACAGCCTGACACACACACACCTCCAAACTTTCCTCTGCAGTGATTTCACACATTCTGGAAGCACTCGTGTTTCAGAAACCACAAAAATCATCGTTTACTGATTTATTGGCTCATTACTCAGTCGCTGTGTAGCGAGGACCCTGATGTGATCCGTCTTTAGGACTGTTACTAAAGCGCTATACAAATACAGGCCATTTACCATTTACCATTTACTGAGCCTGAAAGGTGTGTGTGTCTGTGTGTGTGTGTGTACCTGGTGAAGCACATGACCACGGCCACGATGACAGCAATCTGAACAGCTCCGATGATGGCGGCGATGAGGACGTAGTGCAGCTTCTGCCCGCTGGGCACCACGTACAGGATGTTGAAGTCCAGCAGCTGCTCACACTGCTGCCCCCCGTACGCATCCTCACACCTGTGAACAAAGATCAAGATTTTCGTGTTGACAGAAAAACTTTAAATCTTTAAAAACACAAAAATCAGCCGAGTTTCAGACTTTTGTTTCTGAAAGCTGTTGCAGCTCAACGATCAACGATCAGCTCTGAGGATCCAACACTTAAACCTTGAGCTCAGTTTCTCGTTTTAAACTTCATGAGAGAATTTTTCGTTTCTTTTTTCAGAGATCTGAAGATTTTTGTTAGTTGTTCATTTGTCGGATCCACTTTTAACATCGCAGCTCTTCTTTCAGTTTAAACATGAATGAACACTCGGTGTGAATAACACACGCACACACCTGGGCAGGTGCACGAGGACAGGGGCGGGGCTTACCTGCAGGTGGGCAGGTTCTGTCTCATCTCACAGATACCGTGTTCGCAGAACTGGGAGTAGTCCTCTGGACAGGGGGCGGGGCTGTCCTCAAACCCCTCCCCCTCACCAGGCTTGGGGACAGCTGGAAGGAGAGAAGAAGAAATCTGTGCTTTAGGATTGGTGTTGCTGTGAGACAGGAGCGGGCACAGTTGGGGGCGGGGCTTGGCTGGGGGTGGGGCTTACCGTAGATTTCTGGCTTGGTTTTGATGCTGTCGTCTTTCCTGTTTTTATCTGAAACCACAGAAGAAGAAAGAGATGATGAGACCAGAGAAAGCGTCTAAAGCGCCATCATCAGCACCACCAGGACAGGAGGTCGAATGAAGTGAGGCCTAGCACGAGATAAAGAAGGATTATTTTAAGCTGTGAATCATGCAAAGCTGCTCTAGCAGAGCTGCAGCTCTCCATCTATAACAGCACATATGTGAGGAGAGATCTGCACGTCTCCGTGACTTCGAGCCTCAGACAGTAAAATGTTGAAAGTTTTTCATTCAGCTATAGTTTGATAATCTGTGCAGGCTGTGTGTTCATGTTCATGTGCTGCTTTCATGGGATTAGAATCAGATTACAGCTCGTTTCTGTTCAGACGGCCCATTCTTGTCTGAACGATGGTGAAATATTTATAAAAGGTGAGTTTCAGCACACGAATGAGATGAAGAGTCAACGTCCTCGATCACATTTAGTCCCCGAGTCAAACCCGACAGCGTCAGATTACAGAGATCAATGAGGCGTTACAGCGAGTGTGCGCACGCGTCCGGCTCACAGTGACTGATGAGAGCGAGCAGCGAGGAGAGAGGCTTAAATACAGGTCAGTGACTCACACACACACACACACACACACACACACACTGGTTTACATATCTTAGTGAGGGCCTCTTATTAACATAATGCTGACCCTCGGCCTGACCCTAACCAATCTGTAACCCTGACACTAAAAGTCTCAAAAACAAACTCATCGGGCGTTTTGTCCCCATAAGGACTGTTGGTAGCGTTCTAATTTCTGGTCCCCACAAAGATATATAAACGTGTACTGATTCACTCACACACTTTTCTGGCCTCGGGGTGAAGCTCCGTCAGCGCTGCAGAGACGTTTGCTCGTCTCATTGGTTCTGAACCATTCACAGCTTTAATGTTCATGCGTTCATATTTAAAAAGCTACACAAAGATTACGCTCATGGTTAAATCTGATGTGTTTTTAAGTTGCGCCATGCAGTGTCTTCACTGAACAGCATCGATCACACAAGAGCTTTTATTCCTCAGCACTCGTGTTTCAATTCAGATTTCTAATTTTTTTCGATCGTAACATTTGAAACTGTGACGCTGGGTTTTTGGACGATTCTGAGATCTGCTGGTTAAACTCATAAAAACACACCTGTTAATCACTTTTATTAAAATGAACCTCTGAATTATTTACTTAGAATCCAAAAATTCATTAAGAGTCATAATAACTGGAACGCCGGCTTCTAGAGTCGGCGTGTCAGATGTTTTTAACCCGGAACAACTCAGCTTATTTCAAACTTGAGCCGAGAAAACAGAAGGAAGTCCGAGTCAAAGAAGGAGAAGAAGAAGAATCAGTGAAGAAAGAAGACAAAGAAAACAAGGAAGATGAAGCAAGTGGACGTTTAACAGGAAGGAAAGAAGAGAAACAAGAAAAAAAACAAGGAAGAAGATGAGCAGCAAAAAAAACAAAAGGTGAATAAAAAATAATAAGAAGAAAAAATAGAAAAGAGGAGGAAGAAAATTAGAAGTGAAGAAGAAATAATCTGTAAAGGAGAAGAAGAGAGTAAAAAATCTGAAGAAAGAAGAGGAGGAAAGGAGGAGAGAGAAGAAAAGAAGAAAAGGGAAGAAAATGAAGAAGATGATAAAGGACGAAGAAGAAACAAAGTTAAAATAACAAATAAAGATGTAAATAAAGAAAAGGCGAAGAAGTGAAGAATAGAATAAAACTGTACATATACAAAGAAAAAGAAGGACAGATGGAAATGAGAGAAGAGGAGGAGGAAGAGGAGGGGGAGCAAGAGGAGCATGAGGAGGAGGA